TTTTTTGAGACAGGTGCTGCCTCTGGAGTATTGTATTTAGTGGCTACTCCTTCATAAAAATTGCCTTTTTTAGATTTTTGAAACTTTCCCAGTTTTTTGCGGGAAAAGAAAGGAAAAGACAGTTTTATTAAACTTTTTCTTTTCTTTCTTCTATCAAATTAATTTTAAAAGTTTACATTCTTTCTTTTTCCAAAACCAAATAATTTAGCTTCAAGATAATATTTTTTTTGTCACTCCTCCAATATGCAGCTACTTCTGTGATATTTGTGGTGATATACAAGCACAATACTATTTTATCAGTCATTCTAGACATTAGTGAAAAACCTGCCATTGTTGGATTATAGGAAGGAGCCTAAGATAGTCTGAATGAGATTTTCATATCAAAATGAAGAACAAGTGACAATTATAACTTCTAACTTACTTTTCCTGTCTGTAAATACATTCCAATGCAGAAAGCTGTGTATTTCTTGAAAGGCTTGTGGAGTAACATGTAACTGATTTTCCTGGCCTGTTTCCTATTCCATTATTGCAAAGGAAGACTACACAAAGCTTAGGCATTTGTGCTTCAGTCCCTTAAATGAAAAAAATTTAAACAATCTTAGAATACACAAAGTCTTGGAGATTTTTAGTGGGATAGATACCATGCCATTCTACCCCAGTCCTGTGCACGAAACCTGATTAAAATCACTAGAATGGGATGGTATAACTGAGAGCAGAATTTCATACCTCTGAACAACCTTAGGACAGAAACCATTACTGTTGACAATCTGATTACATTTCAAAATAAAATATACTGCTGTTACTTTATAGTAATTCTATACTTCTGTAGAATAGGTAGTTAACATTCCTGTTCCCTACAGTTACCTAATTTGTTTCAAGCAATAGTGGTAATGTTGCAGAACCCAGATACGGGACTAAATGAAAATTACTGTCAAAACTCCATATATGTTGTACTGTAATGCAACCACTGAGAATATATACAGAAATATGTTGGCCCTCTTTCCTATGCCAAAAGTTATTTCATCCTTAAGTATCTTCAAGAATGTTTAAACTGATAAATTTTGAACTGCCAAAGGTGTCTGGAAAGAATAATTACGTTTTCAAACTGTGTGTAGAAAACTAAAAATGTATTTTGGATTTATAAGTTACTTGAAAGATTAAGATATGGAAGTCTTAATAAACAGATGGTATTTTTAGATCAAATATATGAAGACATTTTGTGAAGTATTTGTGCAACAAAATTATGTATGGTTTCCTGTTAGGCCATGTGTTTACTTAATGGAATGACAAGTTGACTTGTAATTTAATACTTTGTAGTGTTCTTTAAGGACCAATTCAGTCTAACAAGACACTGTTAAGTCTGAAAGTAAAATGACCCTCATGCATTGACTACACATTATGTATCATATCATGTGTATGTTTGGTCATGTAAAGAATCTATTAGGAATTCTTACGGAAAAAAGATCCAAGGCTAGAAGTTTAGTTTCACTTGCCTAAATATAAACAACTAAATTCATGTAGATGTCTTAGTTACTTAGAAGAATAAATACATATTTTGAGTAATAGCCTGCTATAAAGGTATTTTTGTGTAGCTTTATAATAATTGCTTACTGCCTAATGAAAAATTAATAATGAAGTAAACCTCTTTTCATTACTGTGCAGTAAAAAAAACCAAAACTGTTTAAAATGTAATACAGAACTGTACACCTTATATTAGAAAATTGAGACCTCTGTATTTAGCAACAGGTTATTTCTTTTCTGTGGATATTAAGGTATTCTTTCATAACATTGTCTAAAATGCAGTTCTATTACAGGTTTCATATGTCTTTAATTTTATGTTACAATCTTATTAACTGTGGCAACTGTACAAGTTAATTAAGTATTCATGTTCTCAAATTATATAGAAATTAATTATTTTGTATTGTTTTGCAAGTTCTTTGTGTATCTAGCTTGTGGTAATGCTTACTGTGAATTGGTGCCACATTTAACTTTTTGTTCCAACACTGTACGTTATATGATGTGCCAACATGAGAAAGTACATTTGTATTTTTATTTGGTGTTAATTGCCTATAAAATAGCATCTCTGTCCATGTGTGTCTGTATGTTACTAGCTTTACATGCTGCCCAACTGGCACTAAGGGAATGATTAGTTAACATAAAGCAACAAGTTCCCAAGTGGCTATAAGTTTCACTGGTTTGAGTATAGTTAAGAAACAACATTTTCTCTGAATGTGAAGATTTCCTCTGGAAGCTGACTATGTGTAGTCCCTTTCAGACAGTGCATCTCCTAATACACAGGCTTTGATTTCTTGGTTGTTCATCCTATAGTACTTTTTATCAATGTCATAAGTAATGTTGCAGTACTGATACTATATCATATGACACCACTTGAATTAATAAGATTACAGGCTGTAAAATAAGTGACACGTTGAACTGACCTGCACAGTGATCTCTGTCATTATATATTGTTTGCCATGCCTTGCTGGCAGTGGCTTGCAGTGAGAATAGTACATCTCCCATGTGCAATATTCTCTTTGTAGTTGTGTTTGTCAATTTATGCTGTCTCTCTGAACAGGGCTATTATAAAGTATTATTAATGCTTTCATCTATTTTTCCATATACGGTGTTTTACACAAAAATCAATAAAAAGTGTCAGGTGTTTGGCTTTTTCTTCTGTGTTTATGCAGAATAAATTTTAGCTTTCTTTTCTTTATACTGTATCTGTGCTCTGATCAAGTTTTTCTCTTAGAGGTAGAACCTGAATGTGAGTTAATAAAAAAAATTTAAAGGGCAATTTGTTTCTTTTGCAATGGCTGGATAACATATTTCACACAAACACACTGAAAAGCTATATCCCATATTCTACTTTAAGGTATTCCGAATGTTTGGAGGACACAGTGAGCACTACAGTACTGTCAGTATATATTCAGATTCACTTTTCATTAAACAAACAAAGTTTGGCAAAAGTGAAACTGGTCAGCACAAGTAAGTTTGCCAGGTAGAGACACTCTTTTTGATTGTGTATGTGAGAAAGCATTGCTGTTTAAATGAGAAAAACAGGTGAACCACTTTGCAGTCCTGCAAATATATAACTTTTTTCTAAATAGGCTTAAGCCAACATAAGAGGAAAGAAAACATAAGAGCTAAAATCCTGCCTAACTAGAGGTCAGAGGCACAAACTGTTTTAAGTTTACCGAAGTAAAGATGCATGAGACTGTGAAGCTGGCAGGATTTGCATTGCTTTGCCATTAAGTTGCATGGCCTTCCCAGATTCCCAAGTGGAATTTAGGTATTTTTAAATTCAAAACTATAACATTTTGGTCCTTGAAGTTTGTCTTGTCTTAGCTTTAAAAAAAAAAAAATAAAAATCTCACCCTGTTTCTCTATATCACAGTGCTTGTTTTACTGAGTGTTGATGCTATGCTAGCAGCTGGTGCCCTGAATTTTCACCTTTGTCCAACTGTACCTTGTACTGTACAAAAGTGTTAAGTTCTGTCTACTGGGACTTAACTGCATTTCCTTACAATAATAATGATTGGTGTGAAAGTCCCCATCAAATCCATACTACCTGATAACCTGAACACTGTATTTTATCAGTATAGGTAGTTGAATCCAGACGTTGGAACCTCTGTTGACTTTACAGGTTTAAGGCTGAATCTGCTGCTGGATGCTTTTTTCTATGGATATGAAACACTGGAGGTCTGGCAGGACAGTTCTGCACTTTCCTGGTCTTATGTCCCACCCTTCTTTTTCCCCTTTGTACTGAGCAAAAAAAGAAACAAGAAATAAAAGAGGAACAAGAATTCAACAGTCTTTAAAATGAAAGGTGTTTAAAATTATTTCTATACTATAAAGAGCTCAGCATTGTATAAACAGTGCAGGTGGCTTTGGAAAAAGTCTTAAGGGTTCAATACAGCCAAGGAAAGGACATCACTTGACTGGGGCTAAAGACCCCTTTTGCAGCACATGAAAGGTGTATCCTGTACTGAGCAACAGTCCTTCAAAAGCTGGCAACCTGATTTGTAAGAGCAAATACAGAGTGGTAGAGGAAATAATTCACTCAGCAAAGTCAACAGGCGATTAACAGTAGACCTAGATATGGAACCTTGATCTAATGCACACCTCTGTCCATCATGTTGAAATGCACAGTCCTGTAGTTTTAGGAAATTTAACTTTACCTCAAGAAAAAGTTTGCTGAAATGCCTCTTCACAGCAAGTTTGTCCTCAGCCAAAACAGGATCCTCTACATCGTCTACTTTTTAAACATAATTCTTAGCATTTGTAAGAGTAAACATTTAGTACTTGTGAATTAATACTCTCAGAAGTAAAGTACTATAGTCTTGATGTGTCAAATGTTGTTTGTTAACAACAGAAGAGGTGGATGTGATGAAAATACAATATAAGCCTCTTCAGGGCAGAAAACTGTTAAGTAAATATTTTCACAGCTGATTGGAGGTTTTTGAGGATGGACACTGGCCATTTGCCAAGGACAGCAGAATCCCTGTAGTTGAACTTACACAGTGTAACTTTAATCCAAATTTTTAAAAGCTTAGTGTATGAGAAAGGTGCACAGTGAGCACATTGAGCTTTGCATTGTGATCTTTGGAACAGTCAGCCAACAAATGGCATGTGACCTAAGCTTATAATTTACAGACTTATGTTGCCCAATTTTGCCCATATGGTATAGCTCTCCATACATTTGTCATTCCAAGCATAAGCAATAGAACTTAAAGCCACTTAAGCCACAGTAAAACATAATTTTAGTGTTTAGATTTTTTGTCATAAGCTTAAAAACTTTGAATACATACACCTTCAGTAAGTGTTTGGGCACCAAGCATAAAAATGTATAACCTAGTTTGTTCAGCGCTGTTTGCAGACCTGTACGTATCATCATTATAACTCTTTGCAATTACTTAATAAAAAATTTTGTACCATCTAGTGTAGGCCCAAGATACAAGATTGCCACTGAGAACATGTTCACAAAAACATTGCAGTAGAACATGGAAGGGCTAGTAAAATGGTTAGAGGAATGGAGACGTGTGTGTATGTGGATGGATGAAAAGTGTGAAACACCAGCTCCGTGACTGGCAGCTGCATCACCATGTTATGTGAATGCACTGTAATGCCTACAGGTCCTGCCTGTATGACCTTTCTGCCTGTGAATGCAGCTTAGGAGGTGAAGGATGTAAAAGTGGCCACTGTGTTTTCCTAACTGGAATTCCATTCTATGCCAGGCTATATTTTTGCTATCATTTTGGAGTTATGTACAGGATGAACTTCTACAAAATGCAGAGTGTGGATGGGTACACACAGTGTTGTGTATTACCCCTTTGATGACAGAACTGTAGAGCATTTGTGAGTACCAAACATGATACACCTCCTATTTCTGAAGAAGGCATGTATGAAATGAGGGGTGTAGCATGCAAGCTGGGAAGACAGAAGAGTGTTGGTTATGGTTGGAGTGATAAATGTGAAATGTTTCTGTTATCATCTGCTTCTTTTCCTATAAAAGCTGTCTGGAGATTGAAACTGCTATCCTAGCATTTGATAAATTTATTCATGTATTTAAATGTTTCTTTGGAACCACAGCAGTTTAAAGTTACTTGTTAATGAAAACTGAGATTGATATCAACGGCACCTGCAGTCAATAACTTGGGATATGGTCATACCCAAAGCTGTGTAATGTGTCCTCTGCGTGTCCCAGTCCCACGACGGGCAGCTGCAGCAGGCCCAGCAGGCCCGTCACACCAGGAGGTGTCACGTTTTGATGCAGCCCCTTCAGGACACCCAGCTGTTTTCCTCTAGGCACGTACCGCCAACAGGTTAAACGCAGCCGAGGGCCTGCTGTTACCGGAGGGTTTGGTGTTGGCAGGCTCGGCCCTGCTCCGGTCCGGGAGGGACTGGAAGGCCGCTGGGAGGTCCCCCCGGAGTCTCCCCTTCTTCAGACC